ACACACATCACCCACACACAAAAAAAGTTAAGAGAACTATACATCAGGCCAACTTGCTCTGTCCCTTAAGGTGAGCCCTGACCCCAGTCCCCTCCCTCCTCCGCCCCCAATACCCTCAGTCCCCTACAGGACAGAACTATAGGGCTAGCAGATAAACCCCAAGAGCTCCAGTTCAGGGTGCTCTATAAATGAACAGTAGTTGTTGGTTGAACTGCGTCATCTCTAACTTATCTGCGGCAGTCCAAATTTAACCAGCCGCCCTTATTTTTATTAGCTAAATCTAGACTTCAGCAGCAGGTGGTCCTGAAGGAGGCAGACAGGTGAGCCTGCAAATAGCTCCAGGTCAACCAGACTCTCCACTCAGGGTCAAGAAGAAAGGTGTCTGGAATGAGAGTCCTACACACTCCCTGTCCAGAACATTCCATGAATCATCCCACACCCATAGATGGATAAAGTCCATCCACCGAAGGAAAAACTCGTCTCCACCGAGTTGGCACTCGGAGCCTCTTCCTGTCTATAACCATCACCTGGGGCACTGCATCTGAAACTGACAAGGCATCCAATCACAGACCACGTCAGCTAGGTCCTTCTAGAGAGATGACCCAAGGTAGGTGCAGCTGCAAAGGTCCCTCTTGGGTCAGAGGGCAAGGTGGAGGGTGAACTGCAAGAGAACCCAGGCTGCCCAGCTTCCCACTACCCTGTGCACCCTCAAAAGCTGCTGAACCTAAGTGACCATCAAAACAGAAAGACTAGAAAGAAGGAAGACTTCAAGCCAGCCATGATGATCTGCCCATGGGGAGGTAGAGTCAGGGTCACATTAGTTTTCTGTTCTTTATTTAGTGTTGTTTTTAACAAAATCTCAATCGTTCAATTTTAACAACAAAGGTTCGGGAGCCAGATGCTGGGGTGAAAGCCTGCTAGCTCAGAGAGGCAGAGACAGCGCCCAGCTGACCTTCCTCCTCCACCAACGTCCCATAAGCCTCTCCTCTCTCCTACCGTCTCAAACATGTCTCTCAAACTCATGGCCCTCCCTTCTACTTCCTGCGCGTCTCTCTGTCTATCCTCCTCGCATCTCTCGGTCCATCCTCCTGACTCCTCCTTACTCTCTATGGTTTTTTTTCTTAATAATCCTATGTCCACTTCCTGTCAACGGGTTGCTGGCTCCACCTCCCGACCTGTAGCCGACTTAATCCTGTTTATAGGGTTCAAGCAGAAAACTCTTGGATTACAGGTGTGTGCAAGGGCTGAGCCACACCACAAACTCGAAACAGGTTCTTCCAGTAAGGCACGCAATCTCGGGGCTTCACAGTGTGATCAAATATCCTGCAACATTCTAGTGTGTGTGTATGTACAAGCACACGCAGAAGCCAGAGGTCTGGGGAGGCGAGGAGGCTGTTCCTCTGGAGGGTCGCCCACCTTGCTTTGTTTTCGAGACAGGGTCTCAATACGATGTACCCCAGCTGGCCTGGAACTCACTATGTAGACTTGGCAGGCCTCGAACTCACAGAGATCCATCCACCTGCCTCCACCTCCCCAAGTGCCTGCATCATTACTCTCAACTACCTCCTTGTCTTGTTTTAAGACCAGGCCTATCGCTGGGACCTCACCAAATAGGCTAGATAGATGGGCTGGCCAGCAAGCCAGGGCTCCATTTGTCCCCTTGTCCCCAGTACTGGATTAACAAATGATCACAACCTTGTCTGGCTCTTTACATGGGTGCTAGGATTGACGTACATCCTCATGATCGGGTGCCAAGCACTCGACTGATTTCCCCAGCTCCCATCGGGGTTGTTAGACCTCAGACAGGCGTGCTGACACCCACCCACCCACCCCCCTCCTCCATTCTATTCCACTCCTCAGGCCAGAAATCCATCTTTTTCCAGGCCCCCTTCCACTTTAAGTCTCTGCTGGGACTTCTCTACTCTCTGAAGGGTCCACGTCTCTACCTCTCCTCATCCAGGAGTGCCTTCGAGCACCCCGAGTTCACGCCAAGCGTGGTGGCACTTGCCTGCAATCCTAATACTTGGGAAGGCGGAAGCAGGAAGATCATGAGTTCAAGGACAACCTGGGCTACATAGTGAGACCCTGTTTTAAATAGTAAGTCAATCAATAAAATAAAAACAAAACCAACTCAGTGTGAGGTGGGGATCCTGCTCTGTCCCCTGGGGCTTCTGAATTAACCCCCCACAAATCTTGCTTTTCAAGTGTCTGTCAAGGTTTCTGCAGGCTCCAGGCAGCTGGCTTGTCCCAAAGAACCTGGCTTGTGTCACTGGCCGCTTGCCACATGTACATACACACACACACACACACACACACTGAACAGAGAGCTGCAGAAAGGATCAGTCTGGAGAACACAGTGCCAGGTTTGTGTTTGGGGGAACACATAGGTTGGAATCACTTGACAGGGTGTCCCTTGGGAACCAGGAATAGAGGATGTCCTAGAAAAACACTAGGACATGCCTGTGATCCCAGCTTTTGGGAGACTGAAGAAGGAGGACTGTCCTGAGTTACAGGTCAGCTTGAGCTATAAAGTAACTACCTAATTAGCCTACTGCTTCACAGCATGAGTGTGTGTGCACACACACACACACACACACACAAAGAGAAAATTAACAGGGGGTTTCAGTCCTTCATTCCAACATGTAGCCACTCAACAAGTGAACAGCAAGAGCCCATCCCCACTTACATCGAGGGCAATCAAAGGGGACGCACTTGAACAGCTAAGCAAGACAGAGACGGAAGAAAGCCAGGACAGATGTGGTAGGCTCTGGGGACAGAGTGTAACCAGGCAAGTCTTGAAGTTTGAAAGAAAAGAGGAAAATTCTACTCGATTACACACCCTCCCTTAGCCAGGCCCACAGAAGTATCCCCCGAGTGCTTCCAGGGTGTCCTCGCAGGTGGGCCAAGGTGAGAAAAACCAGGGTCCAGGCCCAGGAGATGCTGTCTGTGGTCCCGAGGTCGCACTCAAACCATGATGAGTACCCCAAGCCTTCCCACCAGGGAAGCTCAGCTCGGGTCCCCAACAACCCAGCTATTACCCAACGGTACACGCCCCGATCTCTGCACATGCAGCAGCTGCCTCCGAGACCTCTATTATTATGTCTGCCTTTCGGACTATTTCCAAGTGCCAAGGCACTAGACTGCGGCCGCGTGTCAGGAGCCGGCCGGGCTCCTGGGAGCCTGCCTTAAACGATAACAAAAATGTCATTAGTATGTAAATAAATGACCCTTCTCCCCCGAATCTAGATGATTTAGTAAGTCAGGCATGCCCCCCGAGATACTCTCCCCAAGACCAAACACTTGTGTCCAATGACCAGCCAAGGAGGACTGCATAGACCCAATCCTTTCCCGGTTCCCTGTCTGGGATCCACTGGGACCCTTGGAGTTGGAACCGGCAGTTTCTAGGTCATCCTCAGAACTGGCTATAGAAGGAGACACAGTGTGAGCTTTCCACGACACAGAAACAGGCTAGGGGGTTCCGACACCCCCGCCCCCCTCACCTCCAGGCTAGGCCTGTTTCTAGGTCTGCCGATAGCGTCTCTAAAGAGGCCAAAGTCAATCTCACCCACTCCTGAAGCCCTAAACAGGTGACTTATGATGTCGAGATACCGGACGGTATGGGCACCCCATTTTCATGCCCCACTCACTCCCCAGCCCCTCCCAGCTGCCAGCCACCAGTCTCCTACCACTTCCTCTTGCTCCAAATAGAATAAATAATCGATGCCGGTGCCCTTTCCCTCTGGGAATGACGCTGCTAAAATAAATGAACGGATCAAGGCACCTCCCAAGGCCAGAGACTGGAGGACCACAACAGAGGAACACACGGCGCACTGACCACTGAGCACCCCGGACGCTGCCTCCGAGCCGAGTGCAGAGAAGCCCCTCGTAAATCCCCACTCCTCCTCTAAAGAGCTGCGGGAGCCCGGCCATCACACCCCACATTCCAGATACACAACACTCCATAGGTGAGCCCAGCTCCCGAGTTCCTTCACTTCCCCAGGAACCGCCACCTCAAGTCTACTCCTGGGATGCCGGGTCGCCAGACCAGATGCCAAAGCCACACCGCTCCTCCACCAGCCTCCTGGCAGGGCAGAAGAACTCTTCAGAGCCACGTTCCCCCAGCTTCCCCCCGGGGCCTAGGCCAGGGAAAGGTTGCCCTCTCGGCTCCTGCCTGGCGGCCAGGCCGGGGGTGTCACGACGATCAAGATCACTTCTTGAACTCCGGATGGGGAGCCGCGGAGCACCCTTCTGGCCCCTCCCCCTCCTCTTGAAGAACTCAGAGACCACCCACAGCCCAGGCTCCCCCAACTTGTTCCCTGGCACCCTCTGTGCCCCTCTTAACCCAAGTCTCTTTACCGTCACCCCCAACCAACCAAAGCGGTCCGGCTCCTACCATGCCAGCCAGCCCCTTTCCAGGGTGACCCCCCACCCCTAAAAAGAAACCGCCCGCTCTGGGGCACAGTGTGCGGACTCGGCTCGCGCTTTGGGAGACAGGAGAGGGGGGGAAAAAAGCGGGGTGGGGGGAGGAGGTCTTTAAAGCCTCTTTCCGACGCCCCTTCCACCAACCTCCCACGGCAGGGCAGCACCACTGACCTCATTCGCCCAACTGTATCCGGGCCTGCTGGGCTCCAGGCCAGTGGGGCGCCTCTCTCTCCACCTCCAGGGAATGTGAGGGTAAGAGGGGTGCCCGCTTTCCCCGATTCCAGCAGGTATCCGGAGGGAAGAAGCTGACCATCCCAACCCATCCCCCTCCAAACTCGAATTATAATCCCGATCACGTGCACACACACCCCAAAAGGCGGGCCTTAGAACGGAGACACCTGGAGGGGGAGGGGAGGGGAAGGGACCTCCCATGCACACAACACACTGGAAGGGGGGTGGGTGGGTGTACAAAACAGGGGCTCAAGGCCAAGGCGAGCCCCTGAGCACCCCCTCCCCATCATTCTCCACCCCAGCCCCCACTCCCACCCCACCCCTCGTCAAACTTTCTCCTTTTTTACCTTGCAGGATCCCCAAGCGCTCCGGGCGCCCCGGCCCCGGCCCGGTGGCCAGGACTCGGTGGATCCAGTCGCCTCTGGTTGCCGAGTTAATAATCCGGGAATGGGGGGGACAGGATCAGCGGAGGGAGGGAGGGAAGGAGGGCGGACGCGGTGCGGGCGGCCGGCCGGGGGCTGCGCGGGGCCCCCACCCCCGGCGCGGGCTGCGGCGGAGGGCGGGGCGCGGAGCGAGCGCGAAGCCGAGCCCGGGCTCTGGGAGGTTCTCTCTTTGTTCTGTAATCCCAGTAAGATTGCCAGCCATTCGCCCCGGCCCTAATCCCAGCCCCGCGCAACACCACCCTCCATTGGCTGTCATTTACATACGGGATTAGCCCGCACGGCCCGCCCCGTGCCACCGTGGGGGAGGACTCACAACCTTGGGGCCTTGAGAGTCCCCCAGCCGCGGATTAGAACCCCCTCCCCGGGGAGACCAGGATACTTCAAGGTCACCCAGAGGACGCCTGGAGGATCTCTGGGTGGCTTACCCTGCTGGTCACTCTTATCCCGAAGTGTCCAAGGTCGGGAAGGGAGGGACCCCAGGTTTCCATCTTGGATAGGCTGACCCAGGCCTTTTTATTTATTTATAGTTATCTCAGGATCTCATGAAGCCCAGGCTGCGGTCAAACTGATTAGGATCCTGAACAAGCAGCACCTGGAACTGAGGATAGCCTTGAACACCTGATCCTCCAGGCTCCACCTCCCAAGTGCTGGGATTACAGCCTTGCACCTACACCAGGGAGGACTCGAACCCAGAGCTTTCTGCATGCAAGGCCACCAGCAACCAACCACTCTGCTAACACAGCTGCATCCTAAAGCCCTAATTATTGTTTTAGGACAGAGTTTCACGCACCCCACACTGGCCTCAAACTCTCTATGTAGCTGAGGATGACCTTCAATTCCTGATTCTCCTGCCTCGACTTCCCAAATACTGAGATTACAAGAGAGCATTACCACACAGAATTTTTAGACCCAGACTTCTGTTTGATCTTCCATCTGACCTTCTGTAGGCTACTGAATGTGGTGGGGGGACATTCCCCCCCAACCTTCCCAAAGCCATATATCCTAAATCAACCAACCTAGGAGTTAGTAACCAGGTGATCCCCCTGAGTCCCTGGCTACACCTTCGTTGGGGTAGGTATAGCAGAGGGAGAGTCATGTCTCCAAACCATCCAGGGAGGTCCTGCCCCAGGTTCTCTAAATCCAAGGTTAACAGAGTCAGGACGTGGTGGATGAACATGCCTGCAGTCTCAGCACTCAGGGGGCTGAGGCAGGAGGATTGTGGGTTCACGTCAGATTGGGCATCATAGGAAATTCCAGGCCAGTCTGGCCACACAGAATCCCTCTTCTAAAATAAAACTATTTATTTTTATTTTTTTTTCTAAGAGCTAGGATTAGTGGCTCACATCCCAGGGCCTGAGAGTTGGAAGCCCACCTGGCTATGAGATCCTGTCTCAAAAAGTCAAAACATGCCGGGCGGTGGTGGCGCACGCCTTTAATCCCAGCACTCGGGAGGCAGAGCCAGGCGGATCGCTGTGAGTTCGAGGCCAGCCTGGGCTACCAAGTGA